ATGAGAGTAGGAAACACTGTGTTACAGTGATTTTGCTCCTATCAAGAAGGACCAGTTCCAGAGAGTGTCACTGGCAGATTCCTTGGCAGATTCCATGGAACGCTACAGGTACTCATCCTATCCTTCATGCTGTTTAATATGTATATGAAGCCATAGGAAGAAATCATTTGGAGTTTAATAGTAGTTGCCTCTTCTGGCAGCTCAGAGTCAAGGGAAGTTTGAGCTGGGGTACAAAAGGCTAGAGAATAACCTCTGCACCCCATCCAAAATGAGATACATGTGCCTGTTAGCCACACATACATATCAGACACACAATGCCATTCAATATCTCCTTGAACAAAAATGTTCAATGAGAAGCCATTGCAACCTTAATGCTTACTTTAAATAGCTTCAGCAGCAAAGTCTATTTTTTGCCTCTTTTGCATGACCTTCTGGCTGTTGGTTGATATTTCATGGCTTGCATTAACTCAGCTCCAGGAATCAGGTTGCAAGGATAATGCCTTACACTGGGGCTAGTCCTAGCATTAGGCAAAGTAAGGGAGGTGCCTTGGGCAGCTGATTTTGGGGACTGTCAAAGAAGTGCTAGAGATGGTTGTATCATATGGCTCACCATGCAATTCTATTCCTTTCACCATTAATTAACCAAAGGGTTTTTCCTATTATACAATTATAGCACTATGATTCCACTTTAATTGCTAGGAAAGAGAGTAATCCTATGGAATCCTGGGGTTTGCAGTTTGTGGAGGCACTATAGGTCTCTGGCAGAAAATTCTAAATATCCTATCCTAAATTGCAAATCCTAGGATTCCATGGGATGGAACCATGACAGTTAAACTGGAAGCACAGTGCTATAACTTTATAGTGTGAAAGGGTCCCATGATTTGACAGCCATTCCAATCAGTGTTTTCTGTATGTAAAACATTGAAGAAGCCATCTTGTGTTACAGTGAGCAACCCATCTTGGGGCACCCCTGACTTATACTGCTGTTCACATAATTATCCTCACTCATTACCAACATTTGTTGTTAGAGTTGTGATTAGTTACTACTGTCTTCAGGCCACTGTCTGTTTAAAAATCCCAAGCTATGCCAGCCACCTGTAAAATGTCTTATTTTTCAACAGGGTTCTTTCTTCATTCAGAAAATGTTCAAAATCCTCCTGAATACTACTAGCTGCTCCTCCTCAGATTTCCCTGTTTTCTGTTTTAGCATTCAAAGATGTAATTCCCAGAGGTCTGATGGTTTGTCATCTTCTAATACATCTAATTGCTTAATTATGTGCTCAAACACCATCACAAAGCATTGCAACATTTCATTCCCCTGTCTTCCCCCTCCCTCTGGCTCAGCTTAGGGAGGTTATTTTATCATGCTTGCAGAATGGGAAAGATGATTTTAAGAGTCAATCTCAAACAGGTAACAGCACCCTTTTGCATGTGGACAACCAGCCTACAACACAAAGAAACAGATTATATGCCCATGGAAAAGAAAAGAAAGACTCATGAGATTGGCTTTTGTAAGTACTCTAACATATTTCTCAATCCAGATGTGCAGTATTAAAGCAGTAGCATGAGTGGTTGTGGTTATGATAGCATCCACAGTACCAGACCTAGGTAGTGTAAATAGCATGTCGCCACAGCTATGTGGAAAGGCTTGGGGATGGAGGAGATTACTAGAATGGACATTACACACACACACACACACACACACACACACACACAGAGCTTTTCAGACAGGAACCAAAAGCCAAAAGATGAGTTCTGCCAGATCAAACAAGACCAGAATCATGTGTATTCCTAAACACCACCTTCCTGCCATCTATTATTGGAGATTCCAGATCTTGTTTGAGTGTTGTAAAGTCTAGGGATGTTATCACACATGGGCCAGAAAGCGATAATAAAGTGGAAA